TCGCAAGTGCCTCGCGGCCATTCGGAGAAGACGAGAACCCCTGACGAGCGGCTCGTCGACGCTGGCAAAGAACGGCGAAATGCTTGGAGCGCAATGTGAGAACAATCTCAGACGCGGAAGGGGGAGCTGGACCCCTGCAGAAGGCGTGAGCAGGGGAAGACGGGAAGGAAGCAGGGCTCGCAGGGGCGCGATGTCTAGAGGACAGCGCGCTTGGATACGAATGGTTGCCGTGAATGCGGAGGTTCCCTCTTAAGGGGGGCCCGTGTAGCATAACCCCCGACCACTATACTATATATTAGATTTAGAATTAGATCTAGCGCTGTAAGGTACGGACGTTACAGCGTGCGCGCGCATACCTTACAGCGCGCGCGCTCCAACACGTGTACCCCACGTGTAGCACACGTGTGCTGTCAGCCCCGACGGCTGACAGCGTTACAGTGCGGGCCGGCCCGCACTGTTGTCTACAGTAAGCCGACTACAGTATAGTCCATACTGTACTGTAGACGGTTAATTAACTTGTACAATAAATACAGGGAGCGACGGCCGGGGGAGAGGGAAGCTAGGCAACCCTCCACCGACGGTCGACCACCCAGCTTACTCTACTCACACCGCCGTTCCGCGAGTAGTTAGCACCGAGCGGGTAGTGGACGCGAGTGACACCGCGGCGAGCCGCGATCCGCCTCCGCCCCTCAGTACCGGATCGTCAAGCGGTACTGCTCCGGGGCGTCAAGGCGTCGATCCACTCGCCTACGCGCGCGTCCCCGCCGACCACGCTCTACCACCCGCTACCGGCCCGCTTCCGGTGGCGTTGGTTGGTTCAAGACCCTCGGCACGGCGATTCGGGGTCTTCCGCCGAACATCGCGAACACCCCCCCGCCGTGTGCGGGGTGTTTATGCGACAGAACGCCGAAAGCGGTCCCTGTGAGGCCGGCAAGTGTCGCAGCCAGCGGCGCTGGAGAAAGTGCGCGTGCAGGTAGGGGCCGTGAAACTGCGCCGGGTGGCAGTGTTCGGCGCTAGCAATCCGAGCTGGGAGCGATCTCGGAGGCGGACTTTCCCGCCTTGCAGGGCGTTAACTGCCCCTTCTTCTCTGCGTCCGACGCGCTGGGGCGCGACAAATACCTATTGTACATGCCGGCGTCTGGGCTCGCCACGAGCGTGGACGGGGCGGGAAAAGTGGTCGGGCGTCTGCAATGCGTGCTCTCGCGGCGTGCAGCGCTAGAGTTGGGATAGCACTTTGACACGGTGCGCGGCGCGGGCGTGTGGGACGGGGCGTACGGCTCGCTCGCGGTGATCGGCGTGGCGGAAATGCTCGCGCAGCAGCGTGGCGGGGTTTGCGCGCTGCCGTTCGACGTGGCGGTGTTTGCGTTTGAAGATGAGGGGGCAACATCGCGTTCGGCACGACGAACTTCTCGGACGAGGCGGCAGCGGGGGTGGTTACGGACTAGTGGTGACGGACAGTGAGATCGGAGCGGTGGCGGCGCGGCACGCGGCGGTGTTCGGGGTGGCGGGGGAGGTGGCGGGGCGCGTGCGGGGCACGCGAGCAGGGGAGCTGGTGGGGTTTGTCGAGGTGCACATTGAGCAGGGGCCGGTGCCGGGGAGGCGCGGGCGGGGTGCGCGGGCCCTGGACGCGATCGCGGGGCAGACTCGGGCGTGGGTGATGCTGCTCGGGCGGCAGGGGCACGCGGGAACGATGCTGACGAGCGCGCGACGCGACGCGGTGGCCACGTCGGCGACGGTAGTGGTGGTGGAGGCGGCGGTGTGTTGGCGACGGTCGGACGGGTGGAGGGCGCGGGCGGGAGCGCCAAGTTGATTGCCGGGTGGGCACGCATGAGCGTGTAGTGGGAGACGATGCACGAGGTCGAGGCCGTGCGCACGGACCGGTGGGTTCGGCAGGCTGTGCGCGAAGCAGTCGCCGGCGAGGCGGTGACGAGCGGGGCTGGGCATGACGCGCAGGTGATGGCGCAAGTGACGGAGGTGGGCATGGTGTTCGTCAGATCTAAGAGCGGCGTGAGCAATCACGTGGACGAGCACGTGGTGGACGAAGACGTGGTCGGGGGGCCGATAAACTGCTGGAGGTTGTCATGCGGATCGCGGGGTGTATTGTTCCTCGACGCGGACTTGGCTCGGCAGGCGAAGCGCGCACGGAGCCCACTTTCCTGCACTAATACTAATTTCCGTGTCTGTCTGTCTGTCGGTCTGTGTGTGTGTGCGTTCCCGGGTTGCCATTGGCGCACGGGGGCGCTGCCGTGACAAGTGGCGGCCACGGGCGGGGCCTGGACGCAGGCCAGGCCGCCACGCGGACACGTGGGCAAAGTGGCGGCCACGGGCGGGGGCCTGGCCACAGGCTTGGTCCGCCACGGGGACACGTGGTGGCTTCAGGCACGATCGTAGCACTACAGTACAGTACTAATTTAAATTTGAATGCTACACTACAGTACAGAAAACATAAAAAATACTCTCCCGACGCGCTCCGCGTTCTCTACCGATCCCCGTGCACACCGTTTACGCGAAGTGAATAAGTTAATAACTGTCCTCATTGCTCCATCCAGCTCGCTGCCCGCGGCATTTGAGCGCACGCGAACGCTTACTGACTACATACGGTGTGTGTGTTTTTCTGCGAAGTGTCTACTCAAGAAGAACGCCAAGAATTGCGCGCCGCACGCCGCGCCGCTACCCCGATCCGCCTGAACTTTTCCGAGTCCTCCACAGCGTCGACACGTGTCAACGTAGTTCATCCAGCCCCGCCCTTTGCGCCCGCCCCACGTGTCCACGTCCCCCCGATTGCCCCCGCGCCCGCCCCACGTGTACCGCGCGCCCCTCTGCCACGTGTACCACGTCTTCCGCCGGCCCCTGCGCCAGCACCCGCACCACGTGTACCACGCGCAACGGTCCAACGTTTTACACGTTTACCTCTGCCTGTCATTCCTACGTTTCGTGGGCTACGTGTGCCACGTGCGATCGAGCGGCCGCGTGCGCGCACGTTGCCAGCTGTCACTGCTGTGTTGCGCAGTGTTCCCGTATACACGTGTGACACCTGCAACTTTCATTGCTCGCGCGCGGTACTGTGGGATGGGCATGCGCACACTGAGGGGCACGTGGCTCAAGTGAATCAAGCGGGCCGAACATTCCGGTGCGAGGTGTAGTGCACTGAGGGGGAACGGTGAGATCCCCCTCTGGCAGAGCGCGTGCGTTCGGGGGCGCGTGTAGGGGATTCGGGAGACCACCCGTAAAGGAACCGGTACGGGGCCGGGCGCGAAGCACAGTAGGGGATTAGAGGGGTAAAAAGGAATCAAAGGACACGCCCAGGAGGGGCGGAGTGGTAGGGACAGACTGACGCGCACGCTACAGTAGGATAGCAGGGGGGGCGCGCGCGGTAGAGGTAGGTGGGAATCGGGACGAAGATGGCTCGCAGGGTACTGTCGTAGGACGGGGACCGACGCGAGGCTTCGACTCCACTTCCAGAAACCCAGGTTGTAGACCCAAAGCTTCGTGAGGATTTACTTCGGGTCGGACGTCGACTATATAGGAGTCGACGTCGCGATATAATAATAATAATAATAATACTATTAAATTAAGAGGCGCACGACACCCGTGACACGTGGTGGTGGGCCACGGGTACACGTGGTTAATGGCACGGATAAACGTGAGGTATAACACGGGTACACGCGGGTAAATGGCACGATTAACGTGAGGGATAACACGGGTACACGTGGGTAGATCTGTCAGTACTTCGACAGGGCTCCATGGAGCTTACACCCGGCCACGAGAGGGGGATAGGATACCCGGTTACACGTGGTATATATATCACTTATGATAGTGAGGCATCCCGCGTGTGCTACAGTACAGCACCGCGATTACGCGGGGCGGTCAGTGCTCTACACGAGGTGTGTGCGTGCACGGTTGCCACTGCACACGACTTCAGGCGACATCTGACGGGCAAGAAGCACAAGCGTAAGCTCCGATCCATTACGGGATAGTACAAGAAAATAAAGGCCCTATTGTTACTCTTTTGCTAATTGCTCTTGCGGACGACCTAGCTGGCTGACGTTGCGTTTAGACCTTTGAGGACTGCTTGCTATGACTCATAGCGATCTACAACGGACCTCTCGCACTTGCGTCAACCCTAGCTGCACTTACAAGGATTTCACAAGCGCGCCGAACAGAACGGAAATGGCGGAACCAGCGGATGAAGACGTGGCAGAAGCAAGAAGGCAGCAAAGAAACGTGGGTGCAAGGGCAAGAAGAGCGCAAGAGACTGAAGCTGATGCTCAAGCACGTCGTGAGGCAGGTCGAGACCGTGCGAGAATCCGGAGGGCTCAACAAACCAAATCTGAGACTGCAGCGCGTCGCCGAACCAACCGGGAACGTACTGCAGCACGAAGAGCAGCAGAGACTCCTGAGCAGCGCGAAGAGCGTCTCCGACGAGGCAGGGAGAGAGCAAGGGCGCGCAGAGCGGGAGAAACAACCCCCCTCCGAGAATCACGGCGCGAAGCGGATCGCATTGCGATACGGGGCGCTAGAGCGGAAGAATCAAACCCCCTCCGAGATTCATGGCGCGAAGCTGATCGCATTGCGACACGGGGCGCTAGAGCAGAGGAATGTACTCCCATTCGTGAAGCGCGGCGAGACCTTGACCGTCTCTCCACCCAACGATCAAGCGATGCACAGGACACACCGACTCGGAATGCGCGGCAAGGGTCCGACCGCCAGGCTCGAAGTGCTTCCAGACAGCTCTTCACTCCACTTCCTCGCCTCTGTACCGCGATCTCGGCATGATCTGTACTGAGTGTTCGCACTGCAAAGTTCTGCATTTCGTCCAAGAACGCATCGTGAGCAGTTCTTCGGCAAGGCCGATGTTTTTCACATGCTGCGGGAATGGAAAGCTGTCATTGCCCCTTCTTCCCGACCCTCCAGCTCTTCTGCGCTCTCTTCTCATCGATGATACTCCAAGGTCACGCCGCTTCCGTAAGAACATTCGAGCATAAAATGCAGCGCTGTCTATGGCATCCGTGGTCGCCAAGTGGGTGAACAGAGGGCCCGGCACTTCCAATTTTAACCCCACAATGACGATGCAGGGCGATATGTACCATTACATGGGTCCCATGATGCCATCCGAAGGGCGGGCGCCTTCCTACGCTTCCGTTTACATTCACGACAGTGACTACGCCACCCACACGCGTACAACGCTTGGAAACTCTAGACGACTGGAAGAGGCATTGATGACGCAACTAACGCACATGCTGCACGAATGCAACCCCTACGTGCAGACATTTCTGTGTATGCGAGAATGGGCTCAATCTCCTCACAACAACACTCCAGCCGCGTACCAGATGGTCATCCATGCCGACCGCAGGCCAAGCCATGAGCACGTGCGCCGGTACAATAGTCCCGAAGCTTCTGAAGTGGCTGCATTGATCCCTGGAAATGAATACGGAGAGATTGGGCGAAGAGATATCGTCGTTCGCAGGCGAGGGACTCTGAACAGTAACGGGAACGAAGTGTTGGATCCGATTTCAGTCAGTCATCGTGCATACGATCCATTGAGTTACGTGCTTTTGTTCCCGAACGGTAGAGATGGATGGTATCCAGAGCTTCGATTCTCCAGTGAGGACGACGGCAGACGTACCAAGATAACTCCGATGATGTTCTACGGATGGAATTTGTTCGGAAGGGCAGGCGAGTTCAGCACGATCTTACACGCAGCGCGAATCTTTCAGCAATATTTAGTTGACCGGTTCTGCAAAGTGGAGGCAGAAAGGCTTTCGTATCTCCGCCACAACCAGACACAGCTTCGAGCGGCGGACTACACCTCAGTTCGCGACAGCCTAGGAGACTCCGGTCGTGCTGAAGATGAAGCCGACGCTGTACGTGCAGGACGACTGTTCATTCTCCCTTCTACGCACATCGGATGTGACCGCTACATGAGGCAGCAGATGCACGACATCATTGCTATATCTAACCAAATTGGCCACGCGGACATATTCCTCACCATGACATGTAATCCTAGCTGGTCGGAGATCACAAGAGCCCTGCTGCCCAATCAAACTCCTCAGGACAGACCGGATCTGTGCGCACGTGTGTTTCGTCTCAAAATGAAGGATCTCATGTCCTTGGTCATCAACGAGGATGTGTTCCGAACCGTCGTTGCCCATGTACGAGTCATCGAATTTCAGAAACGAGGTCTGCCCCACGCTCACGTGCTATTCTTCCTAGATGAGGTCTCCAAGAATGATCTGCGTAATCCCGAAAACGTCGACCGCATTATCTCTGCCGAGATCCCGTCTCCACAAGATCCAGAACTCCAAGAGGTCGTGCTTAAGCATATGATTCACAATCCATGTGGAGAACGCAATCCAACAGCCGTGTGCATGGGCGGGCAGTACTGCAGGAAAAGGTTCCAAAACCGTTCAAACACGAAACCGGCCAGTCCGAAAGTGAGTACTACATCACGTACCGCAGAAGGTCCCCCTCGGCAGGTGGCGTCTCCATCGAGCGTCCCTCCCGTATTGGCCGACGACAGCAATCCGTCGTGGTCGACAACTCCTGGGTCGTTCCCCACAGTCCTCTGCTTCTGAGATCGTTCGCTTGCCATTTGAATGTGGAACTCTGCGTGTCAAGCGTTGGCGGAATCAAGTACCTCTTCAAGTATGTGTGCAAGGTACAAGACTGAGTGATCATGGAAATCACTGCCGAAAACGAGTGCTACGACGAGATCTCCAACTTCCAAGATGCCAGATACGTGTCTGCATCGGAGGCCGCATGGAGGTTATTCTCCTTTGATATTGTGGATCGCAATCCTCCAGTGGTCAGACGTTCAGTGCGTCTGCCCACCCACCATACGGTTTACTTTGAGAAAGGAAGAGAGCAGGAGGCGGCGCTTCGACCGGCATCAGGTACGAAGCTGACCGAGTGGTTTAAAGCCAACGAAAAGTACCCAAGCGCGAGGCATATTCGGTACCACAAGTTTCCAAAGTACTTTATGTGGAAGAAAAGTAGCAAGTCATGAAGTCCAAGAGCATCCCTGCGAAGACGGAACGCCAGCAGCGAAGAGGAAGCCTACGATTTCAGTGGCACAGGCGCCAACGTAGTCGGTCGAATCTATACTGTCAGTCCGAGGGAGGGTGAGCGCTACTTTCTTCGCCTCCTCCTCACACAAGTGCCGGGGGCAACATCCTTCGAGAACTTGCGAAACATCGACGGCGAGCAGTGCACCAGCTTCCGACAAGCTTGCTTACGACTTGGTTCGCTGGCCGACGATGCCGACTGGAAGCACGCCATCCGAGATTCATTCCGGTCAAGCTTCGTTCCCCTTTCTCATCTGTTCGCTACGATTCTGGCACATTTCCAACCTTCGGATCCTCTCTCGCTGTGGAACGACCACCTGCACATGTTTCTCACCGATATTCGCAATCGCGCACGTGGACAACCCATTCGAAAACATCAGCTTCGCGATGATCACCACGCCACATCTTACGTGCTTGGAGAGATACAGGAGGCCCTGCAGACGGTGCGTTCAGACTGGACGCTCGCACACTTCGGACTCCCACTCCCCGACGAGAGCCTGCCCGCTTCGAAACAGCCAAACGAGATCCAGACACCCGAAGCACAAGCGCAGCAGTGCGAAGAGCGATGACAGACATCGTTGCCACTGTTAAACACAAATCAGCGCCATGCCTTTGACGAAATAGTAGGCTCCATGCTTCCAGGCGTATCCGTCTCGGCATTTCTTCAAGGATCCTCAAGCGCCGTTGCGGGACCTTCTATGCGAACACAAAATAGTCGTCTCTTCTTCCTCGATGCTCCTGGCGGAACAGGCAAAACATTCGTGCTCAGCGCCATTCAAGACTTCCTTCGTTCGCGCCGCAAGCAAGTCATCGCCGTCGCTACATCTGCTGTTGCTGCAGTGTTGCTCGACGGTGGACGCACCGCTCATTCCGTGTTCAAGATTCCCATTCCTGTATCTGCCGAAAGCACTTGCAACTTCTCCACAAACTCCGATACCAGTCGTACATTGCAACAAGTCGATCTTATCATATGGGACGAGATCGTCATGTGCCGTCGAAACTGCATTGAGACTGTCGATCGCTCCCTTCGCGACTTGATGCAAACCGACCGGCCCTTCGGAGGAAAGTTCCTCGTGCTCGCTGGAGACTTTAGACAAATCCTTCCCGTCGTTCCAGGCGGGTCCAAAGGTCAAATCGTGAGCGCGTGCGCAAATCTTCCGCGCTGTATCGAGAGTGCCGATTCCTGTGCCTTACCGAGAACATGCGCCTCCCTGCTCTCCAGGCGGACCCTGCAGCAGATGCGGAGGCTCTCAACGTCCCACAGTTCTTCCTCAGCGTCGAGGAAGGCAGACTTCAATGCGAACAGCGCCCGGAATGGATTTCACTACCACAGTCCGTAGCGTTCGAGCACAACATCCGCAATTTATGCCTCAAGGTCTTCCACGGCATTCGAGACAATCACGCCGACCCTACATGGCTCACCAAGCGCGGTATACTCACTACAACGAACAGACCGCTCGAACAGGTCAACAAAGTCATCGGCAACATGATGCCGGGACCGTATCGAACATATTTAAGCGCAGAAAAGGTCGAGAGCGAAGACACCAACGCGCTGATCTATCCCACGGAAATTCTCAACACCTTGACGGCCGGGTCTGCTCTACCAGACCACAAGCTCAAGCTCAAGAAAGGTTTCATCATCATGCTTCTGCGCAATCTCGATCTCACTTCCGGTCACGTCAACGGCGCACGATATGTCATCGAGAAAATGACCAACAACCTACACTTTCTACGCGTTACCTCAGGGTCACATGAAGGCAACAGACTCTGCCTTCCACGAATGCCCTGCGGACCAGGCGACGACAACTTTCCCATCCCTGGATTTACTCGAACGCAGTTCCCCATTCGCACGTGCTTCGCCCTTACAACGAACAAAGCTCAAGGACAGTCCTTCGGTGGCCGCATTGGTCTGGACCTACGAGATCATTGCTTCTCGCACGGTCAACTCTACGTCGCATTATCGAGGACTACTCACTCCAGCAACGTCACTATCCTCACTCGAGAGTCTGGTGCGACAACGCGAAACGTAGTGTACCCCGAGGTCCTTCAGTAGTCATCAAAAAAATTAACGCCATTCTCTTTAAATCTTCCCCTTCCCACCCTTCCGAATTATTGCTCCTCCACGCGGACTTGGCTCGGCGCGCGAAGTGCGCACGGAGCCCACTTGTCCACAACTACTAATACTCAAGTTTTTGTGCGTGTGTTGTAGTATAGTGGCGGTCGCCAGCTATGAGCTAGCTCGAGGAAGAGGTAACAACCAATAGGGGGTGTCCCGCGGTAGATCGGGACTGTGGTAGAGCAAAGGGGAAGTACGTCGGCCGACTGCAAAAGCACGACGTACTGGTCGAAGTGCGGACCCGGAATGGGACCAGCACTGGAAGGGGTGATGTAATAACACACAAAACAGGGGGGAACCCGAGCCTAAAGACTAGTTTCAGACACGGGCGGAGCGCCGAGTAGCGGAAACTCCTAGAACGAGCGAGACAGATGTCAATAGTGCCGCCAAGGCCAGAGGCTTGTCGTAGCCCGCGACTTGAAAATCGTCACAATGCAGGGAGAGAGAAATTGGTCGTGCGACAGTAATACGCGCAGGCTAGAGGCTAGTCTTAGCCCGCATAGTCGCCACGACAGAGTAAAAAGGAAAACAATTGAAACGTCGAGCGACAGTAACACGCCGAGGTTAGAGGCTAGTCTTAACCCGCGTAGTCGCAACGACGGAGGAAAGGGAAAGGAAATGGTAAAGGCAATAGGGCCAAGGAAACGTCGAAAGACAGATGCCGACAATGTCGCCTAAGTCAGAGGCTTGTCTTGACCCGCGGTGTCACACCGTCGAAGGAAATCCGTTCCCAAAAGATCCTTGACTGTTTACTGTCATTGCCCGTCGCCGTCGCTTAAATAAGCGAGGTCGCGGGGTCTTGGACATTGTCCATCCTACGGTACTACTGTACTCTATGGTGCAATGCACTGTACTATGCCATTACTACTGTACCTTGTCATATACAACCTCCGGGCTGTACTGTATCCAGTACGTCATCGGCCTGTAATGCCCACGTGTAGTTCGTCCGCCTGTAAGGCACACGTGTCGTCCATCGATCTGTAATGCCCACGTGTAGTTCGTCCGCCTGTAAGGCACACGTGTAGTTCATCGACTTGTAATGCCCACGTGTAGTCGCGCGCCTGTAAGGCACCCGCGGCGGCGGGTGCCGTACAAATTACAAATCTGGGCTGTGAGGGTCGGTCTATACAGCCACTTTTTTTTGCTTGCATGCACGGTTTCTGAGCTCCTATTGGCTCCCCTTGGGGAATCCCGGGTGTATGATGAATGTATGATAACGTATGATACTTTTGCATGCAAATGTACGATCAACTTCTCCCACGCAAAAAAGAAGTTGCTCGAACAAATGCACGACCGCTTCGCACCATTTTCGAGACGGATTTGGCGGCAAAGTCTCAGCGACAGAACTGGCGGCAAAATCTCAGCAGTTTCGCTGAAACGTTGCCGCCAATTCTGTCACATCGGAGACTTCTACTGCCGGGCAGTAGAAGTCTCCGATGTGACAGAAATGCGGACCGCATTTCCGCGGCGCGAGGCTGGGTGCGCGACGCACTTTCCCCACTCATCACCAGCGGCGAAGATGACCTCGCTCACCCCCCGCCAGCTGCTGCCTGCAGTGTCGCTACCGGGGCTGCTGATGAGTGCAGAGTCAGCACCGCCGTCAACTCCGCCGTCAACTCCGCTGTCAACTCCGTCGGCCCATGCGGAGGGAGAAGACAGTGATGAGAGAGGTGACGGCGGGCACAGCAGCATGATGAATCCGTACGGCGGCAACTACATGGACGACACCGTCACGGATGGAACGGAAACCATCCGTGACAAACTCTACACCTTCTTGATGACCCAAACTGCCCAGAACCTGCGCGGCACTTGCAAGAGGCTCAAGAAAGAGTATCAGCTGCCTGCCCAGCAGGCCAGCAGGAAGAGAGTAGTGGTATGCTCGATACTCACTGCACTATAAGCGTATGACGGCGACCAGCCTTGGGATACAATCCTTGGTGACTCCTGTACGAACTGGATCGCACTGTGCGTCCACATGGTTTCTAAATGCCCTTCTGCGGAAGACCTGCAGACGTTTAACCTGCACCTCTTCCGGACGCCTCGAAGCGAAAGCTGCATGATCGCGCCTACGGAGGCTCCCTTCACATTGAACGAATTCGCTCAAATGGTCGCTATTGTTTACAAGCACGACGACACTCGGTCAGCTCTAATTCAGTCTGGTCGCAACCTAGAGCGGAGCGAGCTCGACAAGGGCGCAACACGAGACGAGTTCTGGGAAACGATTATCAAACGATTATTCAACGACGCTAAGGTTGAGATACCACTGACATTGTCTGCCTACGTTGCAAATGTTGACAGCACGGCCGCACCCGTGACAGAGAGAAGCGGTGAAAAGCTCAAGTATCAGCTGTACCGGTCTAAGAGAGTGTTTACGGAGGCTTATCGCAAGTGGAGCGTGTCTGGGCAAAACGACCCGGAGGCATTCCCAGACTTCCTGCCATGTAAGCCGCGCACTCCAGGTGAGATCAGCAGTGAGGGGAAGAGGGCACTAATATTATTTGCTTGCATGGAGTGTGGTCTTCCGAGTGAGGATACGGAGGCCCTGAATTTTACTCAGAAGCTGGCGCCCGCCGGTGTCGACTATGACGACGGGAACGGGGAGGGCGATGGGTCTGGGGCACAGGGCAGGCCCGAGTCCGTCGCGCAGTCACGAAGCAGGGGTCGTAAGCGAAAGGCGGCAGAGGAGGAGGGAATGGACTTGGCGGTCAGTGCTGTCAAGGAGATGTCAACAGGCATACAGGCAGCTCTGGATGGCATAGCGTCGACTCTGGCCTCGTCAACATCCACGCCTGGTGCTGAGGCGTCCAAGAAGCAAAAATTTATCGATGCTGCCACCGACATGACTTCGAAGAAGCTGGTCATGCTTGACGCTTTGAGCAGTGTCTCGAGCCAGATCCAGAAGATGCAGCAGAGCGGCGGCTGCGCTCAAGTCATCGCGCTGTTTGAGAAGGAGCGCAGCGCAATCATCACGCGTCTTAGCGAGGCTGAAGATGAAGAGTAGGTAAGCAGAAAGCATAGCAGCTGTTCTCCGCGGTGCGCTGCGTAGATACGGTAAAACTTCACCGCTGTTTTCTGTTACTTCTCACCGAGAGGCGGAGTAGCAGCGTCTTCACAGCAAAGAGCCATTCGATAAATGTCACAATGTATCCTTTTATTCGATCAAGTCGGCCTATACAGCTGTCTATGATGGAGATTTTGAGTGAGCTCTTCTCGCAGCTGTGAAACTTCACGGTCCCTTCGGCGCCCTTGAGCGTTGGCGGCCTCATCACGAAGCTCTGTTGCGATTTCCCACCACTCTTCGAAGGCAGAGTCAAGACTGCTCCTGCTCGCGGGAGTCAAAGACTCTCGAATGGAGGGTGAGCCTTGATCCACGCACCAGTTGTGCAGTCCCATGCACGCGCCAAGAATAACGGGAGCGCGCTGCAGGCTGCACCTCAGCGGACTCCAGAGCACGCCGAATCTCGCAAGAAGCATTCCAAACGCCTGCTCCAAATGAATGCGGACGGAGCTCTGGAAAAAGTTAAACGCATCTCTTGCGAGGCCAAACTCTGCGTGTCTGAGCTGCGACAGGCCCCACGGTGTTAAAAGTGAGTTCAGGCACTCAAAGGCCGCATCGGCGGCTATCCAATACCCTTCCATCATGCGACCGGCAGCAAGCTGCATTCCCAGAGACGAAGCACTGAATGCCAATGAATCGTGCGTGCTGCCTACACATAGCGCAGAAAAAAAGTGAACCTATACCTCGCGTCCACCACAGCTTGGACGGGTATGCAGTACATGCCCTTCCGGCGCCAATAATTCCGTGGGTTCATGCTGTCCGGCGGCTTCAAGATTTGCACTGCGATTCCATCGACGGCACCGACGCACCCCCACAAAGGGCTGGGCGGGGTGCGAGAGCTTGCAAATTCGGAGGCCAACTCGTGCAACGCGTCCGCGTCCGTCAGCGGAACTCCTGGTAGGCGAAGGCTGCAGTTGATCGCGTCCACGGTCGTGTTGAGGACGTCGTACGAAGTGGATTTTCCGACCCTAAACAGCATCATCATGTCCAAGCACTTCGCCCCGGAAAGCATACGCAGCGTGAGGCCCAATCGCACGTCCGGCGCGACAACCCCTCCGCTGGATCGCGCGGCCATCGCGGCGTCCCGCGTCAGGTACGGCTTCAGCAACTCGAGGAGCCTATCCATCATGGTAACTTCGGCCCCATGCTTTTGAAAAAAGTCGACCCAACCCCGATTGTTCGATCCGCAAATGTCGGGCGAGCTCTGACAACGCTCTTCTCCCTGCGCTGCTGCTTCTCCACGCCGCCGCTGGCGACACCACATGCTAAGAGGATGAGGGACGACGACGCAACAGCAGCAGCTGCGGAGGCCGCCGCCGCGGCAGCCAAGGCTGCTTTTTCTTCTTCTGATAGCGGCATATCCGATGTACGAGTCCTGATGGCCCGCCTCTGTGCTTTGGAGAACGCAGATGAGAGGCGACGGCCAGGGCCTTTTCGGATATGCTGGTGTTTCGCTTTTTGGAGCATGGCGATCGGGATCCAATGACAAGCGTGCATGCAAGCACAACTGGCTGTATAGACACGCCCGCGTTTTGTCGCCACTTATAATTTATCATCATTATCATATCGTGCATGCATGCAAAAAAGTGGCTGTATAGACCGACCCTGATACCCATCCCTGGAGGCTTAAATATGGACAACTTTAATTTTTTTTAAACCAAAATACCTTTATAACAAGGATCAGCCCTGATAACGGCGCTGTTGTCATCCGGAGACAACTACGCATCTAAGCACCTGGCAAGAGTGCTTTTAAACAGCACGCAGACCACAGCGCGAACTTTTACAGAGTCTCGATTTTCAACGGTCAATTTCCGACATCATTTTTATGACGGACAAAGCATTGCGGCCTCCTACGCCCTGGCTACAGCGCATAGTATATCACCGAGGAGTTCCTCGACGATTGCTCGCGAAACCTTTGCCATGCCCTTCTTTAAGCAACCCTTGACCGGCGTCCTCTCATGGCCTGAACTCCCAGGCATAATCGCATCGGTTGGCGCTTTTCGCACTCTGCGACGTTTGTCAGCCATGTCACCGCGCTCCCTCTGTCGTGCCTCCCGATTCTGCTTGCGCTCAACATCACGCAACGCTTTCTCCTCTGTCTTTTTTTGTTGTCTGGACTCTCGTTGCAGTTTATTGTTTAGCTGTATTTTCCTTTTCTGTTCAGCATCAGCTTTTTTAAGAGTCTCTTTTGCTCTCCGTGCGTCCATAATCTGATTGAAAGTAAGGCATTCGGCTCCGGCACCACAATAGAGCTTGATATTCGGACTTTTGTTGCTGCTTCCAACTGTGGCCTCGCTTGAAGACGACCAAGCATTCATGACGACGGAATTGACTGTCTCTGCTTGTTTCAGAAGACAACTTACATCTCTCAAAATTTCTTCAGCTGACTTGGTTTGAGTGACGAGTGCTTGGACCCGCTGTAACGTGTCTTTATCCCGACTTCGATGAAGCACTTCAAAAATCGGTGCTGAGCTACCACTCTTCTCAATTCTTTCCAGCTGTTCCCTGGCTTCACGTGTAGCAAGATCTTTCCGAGTTGCGAAACGTTCCGGAAAGTGCGGATTGAACGGATAGAGACCTGTGGCATGAAAAGAATGAGTTATGTCTTCTGTCGTGATTTGCCTAAAGGCATACACTGCGCACATCAAATTAAATCGCACGCTTTGAGTGTCGGCAATTACAGACTTATTAAAGTCATCTCGCAGGGTTCGCATGGCACTTTTGAACTGTTTGTTAACTTTTTGGTCGCATGGTTGAAGAAAATGTGACGTATTGGCCGGGGATAGCACAATCTCACAGCAATTCTTCACACTATGTTCGAGCCAAGTGAGGCCATTGCGAGAAGAATGGCCGTCGATACACACAACGTAGTGTTGATTATTGGGAAGAATGGAGGGGACAAAATTGTTCAAGTGCGCCATGAAGCATGAAAGATTTTCCATGTCCATTGACCCTTTCTCGCTGCACTCAATAACCCCATCGGAAGGAAACCAGTTGTCCTTCGTGAGAGGCCTGCATATTTCGCCGCTCATTTTGCAGACATCTGGAACAGGATCCAACCAATTGGACATGACATATTTTCCTGCCACGATGAAGAATGGCGGCGCAATTTTTCCAGAGGCGGAGACAGCAACAACAGCTGTTGTGTGTCTCCCAGTCCCTGCTGTCTTTTTTGCTTTTCTAAATCCCACATGGTGAGTATCGGAGGCACCGAAAACCTTGACGCGATTACCGAATGTTGTGTCAACTGCCGTTTCATCCACGTTCTACAGTCTGTCCCCATTAGTCAGCACACCAGGGTGCCTTGAATCTACCTCACTAAGCACATCAAAGTAATGCTTAACATGGTCATATTTTTCTCCCTTGAACTTGACGTTGTCTTTATTTTCGTTTGATCGATATGTTATTGAGCGATTTCGTGACCGAAAAGATCGCACTGCTGAAGATGATGGCAGGCCGTTCTTCCAACCCTTTCGGCCGTCATTTGCCACTTTTGACATCACACTTCGTAATCTATTCACATCAAAAGCGAATCCTTTTTTGCCAGCGTATATCAAACGCTCGCAAATGATTTTTTCTTCCGACGCACTGAGTACTGTTGGCCTTCCAGCACTGGAGCGCTTTTTGTCGCTTAAGATTTTTCGAGTTCACACGTCTGGTTGCGAGTTATGAGGTCTTTAAGATTGCCCACAGTTGATTTGCAAATGCCTGTGGCGTTGGCAATTTTTCGGATTGGCAAGTTTGTGGTTTTGAGGAGCTGGATGGCTTTTTTCTTCGATTCCAGCCGTTTGGTGGATAATTGCTGTGCATCTGTTGCCCTCCTAGTCTGTCGCCGCATAGATAGTGGCATTGTGAACAGTGCGGAGAAGGCTGAGATGGAAAATTTGGGTTGTGGACAAATTGGAAGATGGTAGTGGAAGTGGGTGTGGGAAAAGGCGGTTGTCCGTTTGAACGCGTTTGAATGATGTGAAAGGGCGGGAGTTTTTGGGCGGTTTCCTGTTTATAAGCCTTGTCAAGTGCTAACGTACGGCGCCACTTGGACAACTTCTGTGGGCTGTTTATACTAGTAACGCCAGCTCATTTGTTGGCGACTTTTTTGTCCAGAATTATGGGCTTGTCCAAAATATTGCCCTGTGTGTGTGTGTGTGTGCACTTTCGCACATTTCGCCACTTTTCGAAAAACGGGCAAATTACGGCCATGAACGCGTGAATGCAGGCCAGGCCGCCACGCGCACCCGTGGCCATGCACGCACAAGTGTTGATTAGATTTCGGACGAGCCGGTGGACGTGCCTCTGCCCTCCGCGCCCAGGCGGCGCGCGGGTTCGGCTGACGGGGCAGGATCCGAGTCGCGCAACTTGCGCGAACCACGCCTTGAAGGCGTGGCGGCGGCGAGTGGTTCGAGCGAGAAGGAGGCCGTCGACGAGCGCGGCGCGTCGCTCGCGCCGGGTGGCTCGCACGTCGAGCTGGCGCGCCCGCGCGAGATTGAGGGCTGGGGGAGGTGAGGGGGGAGGAGAGGGCGGAGGAGGGCGCGGGAAAGCGGGTGGAGGAGGGCGCAGAGGGTGGACGGGAGGGTCACGGCGAGAGCAGGCTGGAGCACGACAGAAGGTGGCGCTGTGTTCGGATGGCAGGGGTCCATGCGCGTGTAGCGGGGGTCCATGCGAGTGTGGCGGAGAAGTGGGAGTCTCCCGCTGCAGCGGCGCCGAACGCGACGGGAGCGGAGGGGGGAACGCCGCCGCCGACGAGCTTCGGGGTTCGCGGCACGCGCGGCGGCGACAAGCTCGAGGCGGCAGGGAAGAAGAAGCGGGCGGGCGTGGGCGAATTCCGCGGGGCGTGCAGCGGCACGGGGGACGGGTTGCTGGGTGGGCAGAACTTGACGCGCGTGAGCTACAAGGTGTCAAAGATCATGGAGCTGTTCGGCTTCGTGTCGGCGACGGATTCGCCGGCCGGGGCGCACGCTGAGTGTATGCGCGACTTAGTGCGGCTCATGGCGTACGACGCGCCGCTCTACCGGTAGGTGGCCGTGGACAGGGACGAGAAGGGGCTCGCCAGGGCAAGGCAGGGGACGAGCGAGGTAGTGGACGGAGAGTACGTGGTGGGTTACGTGAAGGACGAGATGCCCAGGCGCACGGAGGTGGTGCTGCACTGGACGGAGCTGGACGGGAGTAAGCGGGATGCGCGGAGTCAGGAGTACGTGAGTTATGTGGCTCGGGTGATGAGGACGGCGACGACGAAGGGGTGTGAGTACTTTGTGACCGGGCAGTTCCCGCGGCTGAACGGGCCCAGCCCGTTATTCTGGAAGGGGAAGTGGAGGTTTGTCGGGACGGACGAGGAGAAGCCGTTCTTGCGGGCTACGCGATGCTGCAGCAGGGGCAGTTGAGAGCACGCTGGAGTGGGTGGAGGAGAGCGCACAGAAAAAATTGAAGCGCGAGCAGGAGCGGCTGCGGACGGAGACTGCAGAGGGGAGGTTGGGCGGCCGAGCAGGCGCAGAAGTCGTCGGTGGCGATGGGGAAGCTGAAGCGCGAGGCGGAGGAGGCGGAGCGGAAGCGGCTGCAGGAGGTCAAGAAGAAGGAGAGGGAGTGGAAGATAGTGGAACGAATGCAGCAGGAGAAAGGGGAGGCGATGGACGCGGCCGTCCAAGAGGCGCTGGAGAAGAAGCAGCGGGAGGGGCGGATGATGAACACGAGCAGCGTGAGGTTGGAACGCGATGGGCGCGGCGAAGTAACGCTTACGACTGTGTCGACCGTGGGGGTGGAGAAGAAGCCCGGGCGGAAGAGCGGTAAAAAGTACGGTACTTAAAGTTTCCCCAAACACCCTGTTCCTTTATCCACTCCATTCCATTCATTTATACTGAAATTGTCATCCCATAAACTTTATTTTATTCAAACACATTCGCATTCCTTCTCACTCGCAGCGCGCAACGCGCGCAACGGAGCCCACTTGTCCTAAAGTTGTACGCCGCCGAGGCGTGCCGCGGTTTAGCACGGGTGCATCTTACACGTGGACACAGAGATAGGTTATGAAGAAGACGTGACAGGAGCGGAGGTATAGCACTATATAGAGAGAAGCACTGCTCAAGTAGGCACTATATGGTGACCCCCTCCCCCCCCCCCCCCCCCCCCCCGTCTCGGAATCTCAGAGAGTAGAGAAGTCACAGTTGCTTCTGGTTGTCAGAAATACGCCGAGCCACTGATCACGAAAGACGAGGAGCAAACGATTTTCAAACAATATAAAAACAAAAGGTTTGTTGCATGCACTCCGTTTCATGGTACAACTGTTCATTCAATTTATCACAATGCCGAGTTTGCTTAAATCATATTGCTCAGCGAAAAAAAGCAAAGCGCTCAGGCTCAGAATTCTTCCCGCCCTACCCATCGATACATAAGAATCATGTCAGTGAAATCATTCATCCAATTTATCTACGGGAGCCCACAACACCTCGCGACCGCAAATCCCCCCATGCAACATCGCTCTCCTTCCCATCCACTTGATCTACGGCTACCACCACCTCGGAAATAGTCGGCAAGAGCTGACTCATCCTCCTTTCATACACCTTCTTCTCATTTTTCCAATACTGAAGAGGGGGGAACTTTCGACGCTTACTTCGACGGGGCTGTTTACCATCGCCTCCCTCTTCTGGCGTTTTTTCATCCTTTGGTAGATAAACAGACGATAGCCCAAGGCGTTTTAACTCGCCACGTGATGCATCCCGCTTAGCCGTCCCCTTACTTCCGGACTTCTTTCCGTTTCGCGTTTTAGATGTACGCGGTTTCTTCCCACGAACGCGTTTCTTGTTTCTTGTCGAGATGTTCTCTTCCCCGCTTGGCTCACGTCCATGCGGTTCAACGTCGACTCTGGTTTCCATTAATGTCGCGTTTCGTTGCCTCGAAAACGACGACACTTCATTGTCCGAATCAGTCGCCCGGACTTCATCATTTAAACTTGGAACGACTTCGGTCGTAGTAGTAGTAGCTTCAGGCTCTGCTTCGTATTCGTCATCGGGGAAGCCCATGTCATCGACCCCAAAGTCTTCATCATCGTCCATTTGTACATCGGGAACGTCCCCGGCAGCATTAACAACCTGCTCGTCTTCTGCTTCATGCTGTGTGTCACCTGCAGTGATATCTATCGAGGGCCTGTCGATACCTGAGGTATCGGCAATGGACAGCTTATCGGCAATGGAACGCTTCTGCTTTGTTTCGGCAGCAAATACTCTGTCAGAAACCGGCAGCTCGTTTTCAGGGACTTGTACACCCTCAAAAACCTTCTCGACCTCATGCTCCATGGTCTCAACTAGTTGCATCGCTTCATCTATTGCTTGCAAAGCGCTCTCTTGCACAAGATGAGGCTCTTTTGCATTGCTCTCCTCAGTTTGCCTTGCGGTCTTGATTGTCGTTTCCCCATCCTTCTGTTTTCCAGAAGTTATTCGAGTTGCGACCTTCCGCTCATTTCTTCGACTGAAAGCGTTGCCTGAAATTGCAATGCTTGCAGGAGCGGATTTTCGTAGCATCCCGCGGGAAGGAGCAGTCGGCAGCGGGCTCGAAAGCTCTTCGGAAGTGTTCGGGCTTGGCATTGACTTATCAGGTGTGCGGATCTCATCCTGGAAATCTCTTGTGTTGCATTGTGATGCTTCAGGACCACCGGTCCATTGGACACCGGCGTCTATCTTCTCCCTCTTGGGAGGTACATTCACAGCGGGCAGAATCTCAGCAAAGAGGGCATCCATCGCTCCGTCAATGTCCGCTGCCGAACACTGAGTCCCGGCGCCACCTATCTCAGGCCGAGAGCAGTTCGCGATAACCAACTCGATTGGCCTTCCAGCAACTTCACAGACGAAGACCTCACTTCTCGAATGGACCGCCGTGTGAAATCCGAGAACATTAATGCTGCTGAATGCGACGCTTTTCCTAGATTCACGCATCTCGACGATGCTGCGGCGCTTTGCCTCTCGAACGTCCGCTGGAGATGCCATAAAGTCCCTAGCAGTGAGTTCAGGCTGCACACCTGTGCTTACTGAACAACGTCGATAATGAGCCATCCCAGCTATCGATACTCGGGACATGCGACGAGAACTTGGTGAAACCGTGGATGCATACCCATAAACCAGTTCGCTGCTTGAACCGGCTGCCTCAGAGCTCTGCTCGCTCTGATCCTCGTTCTCAGTCTTCGTGTCGAGATTCCCAGTATTGTAAAACTTTGAATTGTGCGTCCCCTCATTGTGGTCCCTTACCACTGTATCGCAGGTCTCGTCGTGGATTTCGAGCGATTCATCAGAATTCTTCGAATTCATAACACTATCAACAACGGTGTCATGAGCAGCTGGGGTTTGTTGCGGGAAAGAATTCTCAAATCCTTCGGAAGTTCTGCCTTTAGCTTGTTTTGTGGTCTTGACAGCAGACGGTTTCTCCACCGCAACTATGTGTGATTCATACGAAGTTGTCGAAGCGGCGAGCTTATCAGAGCTTTCTTCGAGATCCTGCGCGCTTAAAATACTGTCGCGGTCGGACTCAAAGTCCGAATCAGTGAGCTCTGAATCGGATCCGGGGATGCCTGGAGGTCGGGCATATCTCATCTCCACTCCACAAACTTGCAAAGTTTTCGGCAGCTCAGTATTTTCTTCATCAGGGGGGAGAATGCTTCTGGGCCTTCGATAAGCGTCGCAAAAGTCGCCCAAGTTTTCTAGTCCATATTCATCACGCGCTAATGCGGGAATTCTTTGGTAGAGGTTGGCGGCTTCTGGAGCATGGGACTTCAATTGAAAATCCCATTCGGCCTTTGTTTTAACGGCAATGGGCTGCAAAGGATCCTTCGCAATAGCTTCGGTGAGTAATGCGAACTCAGTAAAGTCATCGAGGGTGGCCATGTTTCTCAAGCGGTGAACACGCCAATGCTAGCAATGAAAAGAGAGGGTCTGAGGGAACTTGACGAGAAGAAGACGGACTTACGGTTGCTGTGAGAGGCCGTATGCCTATGAACGTTGTGCAACTTGCCTCGCTTGTGTGGTTTAGCTTTTCGTTGTTTTTCATACTCTTGTAGATACGAAAATGATGGATTCAGGTATGGCTTGTGGAAGGGCGGGAATGCTTCATTTTACCTGCTGGCTTATTGGACGATTTAAAAATTTAAAAACGGTCCGTTTGAAAGTGATTTCAGATGGCAATTCGAAGAGCGCACTGTAATCCAGGCTTCTGGGACTGTAAAGTTAAGGCAAGGCTGGGATATGAGAATGGCTCTATTTCTTCGGCTACCGTAGGCTACTTCGTGGAGGGAGCCAGTTGCTCTTGAGCAGCACTTCATCCTACAACGATTGGACTGTTTGCGCACGCACAAACTTCAAGAGCAGAGGCAATGTGCCCTGGCGAAGGTCATGCTGCAGCACCGCAACTTTCTGTCCGCCCGGTTTGTCCTGTTTCGGAATTCTTTCCATGTATCACATCGACTGACGTGTGAATTGCAGATGCGTCTGCGTTTCCACTGTCCCAGCGACTTCTATCGTCAAACTGGAGTCTTCTAAGAGGCTTGCACCATACAAATGGGCCTGCTACAGGCCATTGCCCTTGAAGCTTTGAGCGAGTATTGCCCGGGTCTAGATCTGGACAGCTTGCGAGTGAATGTCCTCAAGGGACGACTAGAACTGAGCGATGTCGCCCTGGGCCCAGGACATGTTATTGCGGCAGCGGGGTTACCATTTCGCCTCACACACGGCGCTATTGGGCAGCTCGGTTTGCATATCCCGTGGGCTTCCATTTACTCTGCACCTGTAAAGGTCAGTGCTCATGGAGTGGAGATGCACTTCTCGGAGGTACGCTTTGCGGAAACTCAGAAGGAAGTCTTCGACGCGTTTCGCAATGAGAGCCGACGGGCGAAGAACCGGATGCTTGCAGAGGGGGAACATGCCGAGTCTGCAGTAACCAGAGCTTTGCAGAAGCTCTTGCCCACATTTGTACATCGCGTTGAAGCAGACATTACGGATGTGAAACTAGTATTGCACTTTGCCAGTGGAGAAGAGGCCTGCGTTACTCTGCAAGCGTTTACCGTAAGCCCCGTGGATGTGGCTGGACCGCAGGCTCTGGCGAAAGACCACGGGGCTCTTGCAAAGCAAATTGTTTTTAAAGGACTTTCGGCATCATTGCTGGGGGACTCCAGAACCGTGCTTGCGATATCAACCGATCTGGTCATCCTTCAGCTGATGCTTAGTGAGAGTATTTACGAGGTCAACGTCTTGTTGTCGGACGAATTGTCTCTTGCACTTGACTTATCGCTAGATTTATTTTTGTCTTGTCTACGGGCGCGCATTTGTCGCTGGAAGCGTGCGGCATTGTACGGCCGCCCTCACGAAACAGTTTCCGCAAACTCGCGCTCATGGTTGCAGTACGCAGTCCGTGCCATGTGTGGGCGACAAGATATTGCGCGTTCAGAGTTGTCTGTGGATATATGCCGTCGAGCAACTGCGTCATTCCGAGATTACAAACGTCTGCATCTCCTTCGCTTGCGAAATGCCGATGCTCTCAGTGAGGACGACGAAAAGCAAATACGAAACCTAGAGGATGTTTTGGACGCAGATATGATATTGCTATTGAGGAAAAATGCTCGCGCTGATGTGATGGCGGAAGAAGTATCTGCTTTTGCCACCAAAGAATGGCTAAGTTGGGTTTTCTTTGACAGGCGCATGTCCGAGGAACGAGAACATCTCTCAGGGGAAATCCGTAAGTCGCTATATGTCGTTGGCAGGCGAGAGCGAGGGGAACACGACGTTGGAAAAACGCCTGCAGCACGATCCGAATCTCTCCAAGCGTTGACGCGACCCTGGTCACACTTGAAGCTTTCTTTTGACGTGAAGGGCTTCTCCACAAGCCTGACAAATTCAAAAAGCCGCGTGGGGTCTTTGACTCTTAGTGGCTTTCAATGTCAAGCGATGCTCGATTCTGGTCTGCGATCTTACGAGACGACGCTCATAGTCTCTGACTTCGTATTGAGAGACAAAGACAGCATCATCGCGTGCCGTGGAAAAATTTCCGGCGAAGTCCAAGATAATTTAGACACACAAGAAGGTTGTGCGTTTTTCCAAGCAGGGTTTCGGCGAGCAGCGTCGGGAAATGATATTTCTGCAGAGCTGAAAATCGCGCCGTTTGTTTGTTTGTTAGCTGTGAACCGGTTCTTTTTTTACTCTGAGCTCGTGGGAGCAATGAGTTCATTGATCAGTTCTCCGCCTCCCAACTCTTTGGCAAATGTTGCCGAAGCCAGATATGGAAAAGCCAGTAAGGCTGGCACCCCTCCACGTTTGGCCTTCCAGATAGCCATACCGAGTGCTGAGGTGCTCGTTGGCTACAGGCAGACGATTGCAACAACGGTAGAGGCCCAAAAATGGTTTCTTATCCATACACATACAATTACCCTCTGCGTCACTGATATGTTAAACGGATTTCATATGACAGGAAGCGTCTGTGGAAGTATCCAAGACGTCCCTCCGTCGGAATTTAAACCCGATGTTCGAAGAATGTTGCAGGTTCCGGGGAATGACTCTGTGCAAAGTGGAAAGTGCTTGGGTGTTTCTACGAGTGCTGTAATCAAACTTAGTTCTAGTAGTTTTTCTTTGCAAAGCGAGTTACTTCAAGCAAATTTGACATCAGCTGGGGTGCACGATCTTGTGTGCATATCAAGGAAGGCCCTCGAGCAGTTAGTGGACATCCATGTCGATAGCGGGAGGCACACCCTGGTTAATGTTCCCTTGAAGAAAAGCTCAGATTTGGAAGCAGGCAGATCTTATCGATTTGCGGTTTCCAGTCTGACGTGCAGTTTTCATGAGTTTTCAAATGCTTCAAGTTCTCTGCTATCTGCACGCCTTGATGTCTCGGAGCTCTCAATAACCTTGTCAAGAGAATCCGTTGTCGACGCCACTGTGAAGCAAGCAAGATTTTCTGATATTTTGCATGGAGGCCATGCCTTTGTTTCAGGGAGCCCACGACATGCTTTTGGAATCCATCTTGAAAGCTGTGAGAGGTTGCAAGGAAAGAGAATTGACTTTGATATTAAGGTAGCATCTGCTTTTATCCTATTGAAACCAGAATCCCTGAATGTCGTGGTTTTCATCTTGCATCGAATGACGAAAGCGCTTGCGACGGAGTCATCGAGGACGGGGGCCATGAAGCCTGCAGGTATGCAAAACGATTTCTCAACGCCATCCTTGTCTCCCAGAGTCCCGTCCCGCACGTCTGCGTTTTTTCGAGACTTGCAATTAAGATGTCTATGCGAAGGAAGTGATATAGTCCTTTGCACTCAAAACGTGTTCTTGGTGGAACATGCCGGGACGTGGAGTGGATCTGTACATAGCCTGGAAGGCAGAGATCACACCGAACTCTCGGCAGTCCACAACGTGTTTTTACAAAAGGTGCCTACCTCTCTTCCGTGGCCCTCCGATCGCAGAGCTTTGTCCTTCAATATTACTCCGACTTCTACAAACATTAACATCCATTCCCTTCAAGCAACTGTTGTACGTTCCTCGATTGAACGCCTCGTGGGTATGTGTCAATTGCTGACAGACTCAGTTGAACGTGCCGCTAACACCTGCAAAATTGCTCCGGATGTCGATGCGGCACATGATGAGACACCTGTAGACCAACCACGCCGACATTCTGTTTCTATCCAGGGCGCTGAGGTCACCGTTCGCCTTCCTGTTTCATTGCATGGAAATGGTTGCATTTGCATTGAAACGTCTCTTTTGACAACAACCTTTGGATCTGATGCCTTCGTTTTGTCGCTTCGGAAGGCTTCAGTCTTGACGAGAGGTTCTGTGCTGGAGCAAACGATTCTATCGCCGGAAATACACTTTCCACTGCATCAACTTCGAAATGCCCGGTAGTCGTCAGGGGCCTGGACCTCGATGTGAGCCACGCTGGCAAAGCTGACTTTGGCACATCAGAATTAATCCACCAGCAAAGAAATGACTGGAACATTCAGGTCCTCAGCAAAGCTGCTTTCTTCATCACTGCAAGCCAAATGCGTCTAGTGCAGCTTCTCCCCAGAGCCTTGAAAAGCACTGTACATTCTGCAACGGAACCTGGGACAAATCACGCTACCAAATCAGCTGACACCAAAGATCGCTCAGACCACAAACCCCATCCGGTACTCATCTCGAGCTTTGAGCATTCTACCCTAAAATTGCAGACACAAGCTATCTCTGTGGAAATTCTGAACGATGATGACCGTGGTTCTGTAGTATCTACAATTGCTTTCCTGGAGATGGATCCCATTCGCATGTCCAAACGGAGCGCGTGCGAGGTAAGAAGTGAGAACACTGAGATGACGGTGACAAGGTGCACCATACTTTGCCGGGCGTTGCGACTTGAGGATAGAGATTTCGAAGTCCCAATTCGTCTTCGCGAGGTCATCAGCACGCGACGCAATAATGGCAACTTAGACAATGAGTATGAAGCTACGTTTGTTTCAAAGACGGATCATGCTTTGGCCATAGAGAGCGTTTCTAGAACTGACAGATATGGGGTAGAGAAGTCTTCGCTAAGCATTGAAGTGAAAGGTCTTCGAGTGGTTCCATCACCGTCTCTTTACGAACGTTTGAATCAATTCCTTGTCAGGAGCTCTGTCCCTGTACGAAAAACAACACCAGGACGCTCCTCACGCTCCTCGCTCTCATCTAAGGATAGAGATGAAGTATGTGAAGACAGTCAAATTGACACTGTAACGAGTGCATTCGAATGCTCTTTAGAAAACCTCACAGACCCACTCATGAAGGAAGAAAAGGCCGTCCAGAAGGTCTCTGTGAAGTTTTCTGACACTGCGATTCAGGTATATGGAAAAGGCCGAAGCGTGTCGGAATCGTCAACGATAGTTGCCATTGGTACTCTGAAAACCAACCTCTTATTCGCAGCTGACGGTCACTTGCTTTCAGGGTCAGAAATTCGGTGCAAAGAAACACTTGTTTCAATGATAAAGATACCAGAGGAAGTTGTGACTACTGAAAAACATGCTGTCAACCTTACTGATATTGAAGTGTCGCAAAGAGTACAAAAACACATCGAGAAGAGTACCAAGTTTCTCGATGGCCTGAATCAAACAGGACCCTCGTTTCTTAGTCACCATTTGACAGTGCCAAGCAAGCGATTGCGGTGGAACTTCTTCAGGCAAGACAGCGATGTCCACCGAGCAGAAGAACTGGTAAAAATTCCAAGTGCAGCTCTTCGCTTGCCTGGGCGGAATTTGGATCGTCTTACTCTTCTGATCCCGACCGTAACTGTAGAAACACACATTCAGTCTCTGTTACATTTCGCCCATCTCATGTCTCGATTAGAATGCCTTCCGAAGTTGGATTCGAATTCGGAGATTATTCTTTCGCCGCTTCAGCTGTCGGTCAGCAACATATCGTTTCGAATCAGGTTACCCACAAGTGCAGGCGACGATCCGGAAAATATGGGACACTTGAAACACGTCTCATTGCGTTCTAGATCTAGCATTGAAGGAGTCTTAGGTCGAAATTTGTCTGGATTGACAGCTAGCGTACAATTGACAATCGATGTGTTTGATGAGGAACGAGGCTTGCGAGATCGCATTTGTTCGCTTATTGGTGTGAGAATAGAAGGTCATTTCTCTGACGACATCTCGATTTCACTTCATTGTGACAGGCTCTCGAGAATTGTGGTAAGTCCCTTGACCATTCGGGCAGTTGCATGCCTTGCCTTCGTTGCCTCGGGGAAGGCATCAAGGCCGAAAACCGTGAAGAACAAGCCTGCGTTTGCATCAGGAGTAGGGAAAATGAACGAGTGCAAATCGCATGAAACTAAAGTTATAAACTGGACCATAGCCTTACGGGGAGTCGCATTCTGTTGTATTGCAGAGAATCCTCGTATCCAGTTACTCAGACTGAATCTCCGGCAGGTTTCAAGTTCAGGGCATTTTTCGCTGCCTTATTGCGAGAAGGGGAAGCTAGAACTGAAAGTTCTTGATTTAGTCCTGGAGGACACATTCTCGTGGAGACTATATGGCGCTCAGGACCCTACCGAAAGCTCTGTCCATTGGACAAACATTGCTTGCGGGATACGAAATCGTCCAAGACACAAATATTCCCGGTACGCAAGCCAAGATGATGACTGCTCCGTCACAGATGTCCCTGTTCTTCTTTCCCAATTTTCGTGGCATCACTCCTTCAAGCATGTATATGCACATGTGCAGTCGAGAGGCTTCGAAATCAATCTTGACATGGCAATTGTTCCTCTTTTATCTTCTTGGGCAGCCTCTTTAAGTGAATCAATGAATAGGTTTCGACCGCAGTGTACAGAAGATCTCAATATCAATGAAATCCACAAGCAGGAAAGGCATGAATTTCTCATTGCGGTTGACCAACTGGCAATCGGTCCTATTGAGTTGGTCATTTCTACAAAAGCACCGCCCCCACGTATCCGGGACAGCCTCTTACATCGGGCTTTTATTTGGCTGGTTGGTTCTGAATCTATCTCGGGAATCACTCTCACAATTCCTCGAATTGTTCTCAACGGTGAATTCTATGATTTCGATCTTTTTGTGCAGCATCTTCAGAGAGTGTACATCGAAGCCTTCACATCACGACAAGTAGGGATGCAGTTGCTCTTGCAAACTGCAAGCTTCTCGCGTCTCGCAAGAACTATATACACTTCCTTTGTCCGGCGAAGGGCAACCAATTTGCTACAAACTGTGGATCTGGGTTCGAAACAAGTAGCAGCTCTTCCCTGGAAGAAGTCGCGCGGTCTTTTAGAGGCAACAAGTGAAGCACTAAGTATGCTTTCCACTCATGATCGCGTGAATCCGTCTCACGAAGCCACATCAGTGGCTCGCAAGGCGGATTCTCCGAATTCGGAGACACCCTACGGAATGGTATGGAAGCGGTAGTCTACAGCTCTTCTTTCTATATGACTGACTTCAACTCGAGGCTACATGTCCAAAAGTTATTTGGTTCGACGACAGCCGGAGTAGCCACGCGGGCAGGTTCTATGCAAAGGAAGTGTTTCCATCCATCATCTGGCATGTCCGACAAGGCAGCGGCTTTTTCAACATGTGGATTCCAAACGACTGCCTCTGGCATATTCTTCTTGTAAATGGCGAGATTTGCAGTGGATAGATCGATACGATCGGGAGCGTCAAAATATACACGATCTACTTCCTTTCCGAAACCAACTTTGCCTGCCTGGCTCTTGATTTTTGATGCCAGATTTGTCTCCGTGTTGTCCTCGTACGAGAGTCCGTCAAATCCATGTAGAGTAGTTATTTGAGGATCACATGTAAAGTAAGAGTGCAGGGCCATCGTAAAGCTGAAGGCCTCGCCGTTCGTATTTTTGTTAGTCACGCTCATATCGAGAGCAATAGAGTTTCCATCGGATGCCAGGGTAATGATGAGGGCAAGTTGGAATGAATGCGGCCATTCGCTGTTTCGTGTCTCATCTGTGTCTGCAAGAACAAGACGAGCAGCGGCCCCGCTCTTCTGCTCGAAGGCTTGATCAAGAGACCATATCATATTCCTCGCAAAGCCGTGTTGCCTGAGCGGCCCCTTCTTCGCAAACTGCGGGAAGCACACCGGAATTCCTCCCCGAATAGCTTTGCTTCCATCGTAAATGGCAGTCGGCGAGGTATAGATCATTTCGCGACCTGCAGCATTCTTCCAACTTGTCACATGAGCTCCGAAATGGTGCACAACAAGGGCAGACTGCCCATCGGCTGACAAAGTAGTGGTATTCATGACGCAATAGTTAGTATACGAGAGTGTGGAGGAGCTTGTGTGCGTTGTGGTACTTCTGAAATGCGAAGTATACTGATGCTCCGTTAAAAGGAAGACGAATGCCCTTTTTGTTTTACCCTGATAGAAACTACCAGGTAGAGAGAGCGCACTGCACACAGTGACTTCCACAAGATTCACCGCGCCCCTCTAGCTAGTGGATCGAAAAAGTTATTGAATTTAACGCTCCCAATAGAAACAACGTTTCTCCGCCTCGTCAGCTTTTCATGCATCAGCATGTGTCGTGCTGCAAGCCCCGAACGTACGTCATTTCGTCTTGCTACAGCACTCAAGGGTGCCGTAGTGCTCGTACTACGTGTAGCAACCAGTGGACATCACCGCTTCAACAAGGAGTTACGGTCGAAATGACACATATTTCTACCTGCTTGAGGCGGTCGTGCTGGATTCAAAGCAAGATCACCGCGCTATCGTCAGTCTGTACAGTATCATCAAAACGAACGCTGTCACCGAGTTCCCCCTTCATCCATTTTTGCAGTAGTCGTTTTTCGTTTCCGAGTTTGATTAGAGTTTTCACATTTACTATATTTTGCAATTCATGCAAACACAGGACGGGAATTTGCCATTGAAGTTGCAGGTGCGTGACAGGCGAAAATGACAAAACTACATTTGCTTGCAGGATAAATCACAAGAAAAGTAAACAATTAATTGTGGCTCTTGAAGTTTGAAGGTAAAGGGGTCGAAGTAGAAGTACTTCTCTGACATGCTTCAGTATGCTGCCACGGCGGTTCCGATTTTGAAGTAACGTGATAGCATTTCTGATCCGATCCCTGATGAGATTATGCGGTGCTTGTCCTACTCACAATAACTCCTAACAGTGAAGAAAGAGTTTCAGAATAAGCATCTCTTGAGCATAAAAGAAAGATGTTCAATTCTATCTCTAAAGACTGCAGTGTTTTCTTTCATGTGAGCAAATGTGATGAACAAGTTGTCCAGAGTGTCGAAATAAAAAATAAACTGCTGTGCACAGATATATGGTGCTCTGTCGGATGCTCAACCATTTCAAGAACAGTGCTATACTGTATCTGAAGCGACTCAAATATTTTTGAAAAATGTTCCAACTTTCCTCTGGACAATCTCGCTTCTTCTACTACTGCTACTGCCTAAGGGGATATGACATCGTCCGTATCGCATCCGGTTTTTAGTTGTTGTGTCGAAATCTCTTGCACCAGTCCTCGCAATACAGCCATCAATTGCAACTTTGCATGAGTTGCCTGCTTGTTTGCTTGAATGCGCACGGATTCCTCGTTTCTTAGTTTTTGCAATAAATCATACATTTCATTATCCAACAATCCAATAGCATCATCAACATTTGATGAGTGAGTTTTCTCAAACTTAAGGTTAGTGGCGTTTTTCTGTAAACCCGCTATTCGTGTGCTGATATCTTTGATATCCTGTATGTACCCATCGGTGTCATCCTTTTTTGAATGGATGCGACTTTCTAACTTGGAAATCGCATTTAGAATGTTTGGTATTTGATAGATTGTTTGTTTTCTAACCGCTTGGTTTTGAAGACCGACCACGTAGATGTCATGGTTCGATATGAAATCGTCTATGTGACGGTTTTCCTGCTCCGTTTCTTCTAAGTTGGCGTAAATTGGATGCGCAAAGACCGTCCTGTTCTCACTCGGATTCGCAATATGAGCCTGAGCTTGTGAGAGGATATTATCGTTCCGCTCATCTTCGTATTTTTGTAGCAAATCGTTCAAAGTGTCTAACTCAAGGCGATATTCCTCAATGTCACGCAGGACTTCAGCGTGCTTCAGAGCTTCTATGGCAATTTCTAGTTCTCTTTCATTTGTCCTGTCGCCACCTCCCATGTTGTTCCTTACATCAGCCACCCATTTTTGCGCACAAGAAAGCTTGCTTTTATGACCACGATATCACGCGAATATATATCCAAAAACAGAAGTTAATTTAAGCCCTTTGTTGGTGCACCACTCTGGAAGATAAGCTTTGAGTTTCTCATACGCTTCCTGGCAGGTATCAATCTTTGTCAAGAGCTGCTTGGTTTGCATTGTGTTTTTCACTTCCAATGACGAGAGTCGGAATTTGCAATTGTACATGCAGTCGTCACATGCCGCAACTTGTTTTCGGCATTTGAAAACCTCGTCTCCGTTGAGAGTGAAGTATACATTGTTTGCTCTCAAGGTTTCGTGGGGGAAAGTCCCTGCTGGTTTCTCACTCGAACGGAAAAATGTTTGCCCAGGGGAGACAAGCACAAACACGATAGATAAGAAAAATGCGAGCATAGCAGACGTAGCTTCAGGTTCAGATGATAGAGTCTCAAGGGTTACTAAAGTGTTGGATGAAATAATGACAGACTAGTTCTATATGCTTTAATGGTTTAAGAGAATTGCTGTCTCCTTGTAGACGCTGTGCCATAGCCATTCTTTGATGTCTCATGGAAAATCACCGGGACTCACGTTGTCTAACTCTACACAGTTTCCTGGACAAAAAAAGCTATTCTAAGGGCTTTGTAAATATTATCCCTCTGCTGAATGCAAAGTCACTTTTCTTCGGCCTGCATTGAACGGTCTTTCATGCTTTGGGCTTGCATCAATCCCAAAAATTGATATTGAGGTCCATTCATTGATCAAATTCGTTACTGATATGAATGAAACAGATCTGTGGAGATAAATTCTGAAAATAGTTCTTCACAAGTGCGCGAGGTAGCGGTACACAAAAATCAATCGAGATATGCCGCGTAAATATGGTTTAAAACTCTTTTTTGCTTTAGCCGGCAAAACAAAGGTCAACAGACTTCTTGCATTCTATCCCTTTCTTCGCACTATAGTCGACCCTACGCATTAGTGCCGCCCCGTGTAAGGACTAATAATACGGCACTAATTCGGAGCGGCACAATCAGATGGCAGAACCACTACCCGGCCAGAACTCTGTTATTAGAGTCTGTTGTTGTTGCCATTGACCCTGTCTCTCATGCCTAGCTTCTAGAAAAGCTCGTTTTGCGGACCTCAAGTGCGATAAGGCATTGCTCACATCGCACTCCACACCCAGACTCTGCAAAGACCCAAACAACCTTGCTAGCACTACAGCACTCGGTACGGCCCGCCTCTCCGTAATTTCACACTCGCCTTCTGCCACACAATCATCCATCATAGCATCACTGGCAGACTGATTCTGTAGCTCTCCGCCATAATGTATTAAATCGCAAGCATCACTAATAGAAGCTTCTGCCACAAGCTCATTAGTCTCGATCTCAATCCATTCCTCCACATCGCAGGGTGCAAAGTCTTTGTTCCGAGCGTTGTAGCTGTGTTGGTCACAATTTGTTGGAGTGAAGGAAGAGAGCGTTTGATGTTTCGGATGTTTCGCTCTGAATTTTGAACTGACGCATAACTTTGGTATTCGCATTCCCGACCTGCAGCAGATGCCCAACCTCGATTTTCTGTGCAATCGTACGGCGCGTACGCTTCGCTTTGGCGATCTTTTCAGGAATCATGTTTGGTCTTTGAGTGAGGTGCCATCACCAATTGAGTCTTTGAGCTGAGGCGCATGAGGAGTGGGCGATGACGACGTCGTGCATGACACGTGGCAGGACCTGTGTCTGCAGGTTTTTTGCGGCACTAATTCGAGGGTGGCAATAATGAAAGCGGCACTATTGCGCGTCCCCCCCCTGTACAAAGTTTTTGCCGCACGTCCATGATAACTCTGCAAAGTACTCTAGAAGTGCGTTTTGTCCCACTGCCTTTCTGGGCGGGAAAATCCAAACGCCATCAAGCCGCGGTCTTCCTAAAATCCATTTTTTTTGACTGACAAATTCGTTGGTGCATTGGGTTCAGTGGTTCTTTATCTGTGGAGGGCAAGATGATCGATGTCCTCCGTGAATTGCTGCACTTGTACCATTCTTATGCAGGACTGAGAGGATCCTGGACAGCGCTTTTTTTTTATCACCTTTCGGAGCCTAATTTGATGCTGCACAGATGAGGTGACGGCATGTATATGCTTTGTGTATCATTTCCGCATTTTCAGGTTCCCCGGTGATCTCATATTGATTGTAACATATAATGCGATGTTATTGCCAACAAGGGAATCCTGGCAGATGTCCGAGGGGCATTGAAACTAAGCGATAAGTGCAAAGGTGAGGAATTTCTGTACAGGGAATAGTGTCGGACTCGCAAAGGTTCTACTGGATTGCTTGAGGCCGTCGGAAAAACCTCAGTTCCGTGCCTTTCCCAGACTGAATTATCGCAAAGGATCCAATAGGGAGGGGAGCATCCTATTTGTGCCAGGGGCTCGCAAGCCTCTTAAACGGAAACAGTTTAGAACCACTTATCTGCGCTGCAAAAATTTGCCTCATAGAACCTGACATGGCATCAGGGGGCAAGTATGAGCAGATCCTCAAAAGCAGAGATAACTCATGCTTATGTCCTCCTCAACAAAGACAAAAACAAAGAAAGAAAGAGATGAATGTGAAAGTAAGAATCGCCGACTTCTCCAACTGATAAACGGGGGTTGACATTCTATGGACGCGCATGGAAGTATTATCCGTTTGATGATAGGCAAGTGCGGAAAAATCTGGACTTCACTAAGGGGTGCACCGATGCGTGAACGTCAGTTCTTCCTTACCTCTTTACTGTGGGATATCGCTACTACATATACTGTGCACATCCCTCTCCACCCGTCTCCTGACCAGGGGGCACTCCCTTTCACCACAGGTTATGGTCCCGTGGCGCAATCTGCTGCGCACCGATGCTCAACGCAAGTGATCGCGACTTCAATTTTATGAGTAATCAGAAGTATACAGTATGGTCAATGAATTGGAAAAAGGGGCTCCATGGCGCATTCGTAGGTAGCTGTCACACGTAGTAACATGACAAGTATCTCACACCTCTGGATTTGGAATTCGTGTCGGTCATGTAATTTTACTGTACTGCGACCAAAGACCCCTGCAGTTATTCGCAGGTCACCCTGGCACCCTCCGAACATCTCCCTTCTGTCCTGAACATCAGATCCGACAAAGCACGAACTTGTTGAACTCAAATATGGGATAGTAATGAATATCGACTGCACACTTTTCGTGGTCTGCCATTGTTGGTGCCATGCCCAGCATCAATGAAAGCAGTATTCTGCCAGGCATAACGGATGCATCCCTCCAAAAAAAGTCGCAAGTTGCCTTCAGAACCTCTCTGTGCAACATAGTTGCTACTGTTATTTCACTTTCTACGTTGCAACAGGGCCCCTTTTGTATCTGGTCTACATAAGGTGACTGATCAATCGAATGGAGAGGTGAACGGCTGGTGAACTGTTCGTTGCTTCATTTCTTCCCAAATCTACTCGACGTAAGTGGACATTATCACCAACCGTCGCCGCACCCCGATGATGATTATGGTTAACTCTATGCTGGTTCCTTTGTGATGGGGCCTTGCCTCGCTGACACAATACCACCGGGTCTTTACCTACCGCCACTGAGGGATGCTTGATTCGCGTCAAACGGCCTGTTCATTAGAAGAGTTGTTCTGACCATACATTTTTATGCCTTTGACGCTGAGCTACCTCCAGGGATTCAATCGATCGTTTCTGAATCCTCCTCACTCTCTTTGTACTGCTACTCTGCCGTGGTAACTGCCAGTCTCCCATCCTCGAGAGCCCCGAGGAGAGTGGCCAAGAAGTTGCCCATGGCCTGTAGCCAGCGATTAAAGCTACAAGCCCAATGGTCGCTTGCAAAGAGTCTTTACATTCGCCAGGTTCCTTCACTTTCTATTTCTGTGCATACAATGAGCGCTACTCGCTCGGAAAGCATCAAAACGCTAAATTCTTCCCGGATAGTTTCGGGTCCCTCGGCGGCCGTGCGTTCGCCGCAACAGGAGAGAAGGGTTGTCGTCGTTCTAGATCCCGACTACGTTTCATAGCAGGTGACAGTCCTTTCGTGCTTGGAGATACTTGCCGCTTCATCTTCTCATTCTTCATTGCCTTATTCTTGCGTCTCTCTCCAGCAAGCATTTTTTCGAGCCTCTTTAGGCTTCGTTGGAGATTCTCTGAGCGCTTTGCCAATTTTCCGCTTCGCTGTTGGAGGTCGATATTTTTTCGCGCGAGGGCGTCAGATGAAACGGTTTCTGCGCTAGTGTTTTCCTTGTCTCTTGAGGTTGATTCGATTTGTTCGGAAAGCTTCGAGATGGCGGTGTTGGCCTTATGTAAAGACTGTACTTTGTCCGCAAGATTATTGCTGGCTTCTTGCAGCGCAGACCTGAGCTCCTGCACATCTATGTTACGCTTCGCAATCGATGCCTTGAGAGATGCCCGTTCGCTATCCATGCGCGAGGAGTCTTCCGTGACAATTTCAAGTTGAGCTGCTGCTGCGTGTAGCTTGCCGCGCATTTCTTGTAGTTGCAAATTTCGAGACTCCAATTCTTCCCTCACCATTTCGTTCTTAGAAGAGAGCTCCGCGCAGGTCCGTTTGATTTCCTCTGTTTGCGCCTCGTACATCTCCTTTGCAGCCGCTACGTTGCACTCACCATCACTCAGCGCTGTTTTGAGACGACGTGCTTCCTCTTTTGCGGCGTCGGATTCATTCTTCACTTTCTCAACAAGCACCTGCAGCCTCTCGATTTGTCCTTGACTGTGCTCTGCTGCGGATTCACTTTGTCGCCTGGATTTAATTGCCTCGTTCAACTCCGTTTGCTGAATGGTGAGTTTCCCGAGCAATTCGTCTACAGTAGCAGCACTCTCGGTGGAGTTTTTCACAATGGTTTCCTGGGCAGAGTGCACATTTGCTTCTAGAGCGGCGATGGAAACATCGGCTGAGCCCAATTTGTCCTTTAGCCTAGTCGCCAAGCTGATTTTTGATGACAGATCCTCGCGGAGTTTTTCAATCGTCACGTTGCTCTCATCGTAAACTTCCTGTTGGCGATGCAATTCATCTTCCAAATCCTTCTTCTGGATAAGTGCGAGTTCGTGTGCATTTTTAGCAGCCTCAAATCTCTTCCTGATTGAAACAACTTCCGCGTTCTTCTCCTTCAGTTCTGCTTCCGTCTTCTCCTGTTTTTGCTGGCTCTCTCGCCGACCGGCATCCAACTCGCCTTCAGCGACTTCTAGCTTCGATCGTAGAGAACGGATCTTTTCGTCTTCGGCCTTGGACGCTTCACTGAACTTCTTCTCATACGTCGCGGTTGCTTCTCTGATCTCAGTGACATGACCATTAATCAACGAAATCTTTTCTGCCTCTAGCGATGAAACTATACTCTTCAGATCGTTAACCTCACCAGCATACTTTTGCACGAAACCCTCTTTCTCAGCCAGTGATGCTTCAAGAGCAGCCTTGGCTTGTTCGAGCTGCAAAGCAGACCGCAATTTTTCTTGAATTTCGCCTCTCTGCGTTTCGACCTCTTGATTCCGGACGTCAATATCAGCGTTCAGAGCTTGTATTTCGTTCACGGAATGCAACAGCGACGTCTCAAGGGCCCTTCGCGATCGCTCTAATTCTTCCCACTCTGTCTGAGATTTGTTCCTGTCTTCTACCCATCCCAGCTTTTCAGAAATATAGGAGACAATCAGGGCATGGTGTGTCTGACCAAGGGACTGAAGTTCGACCGTCATAGATTTCCTTTCCAGGCATGCGTCATTGAGCTTCGCTGACATCATAGCCAGATCATTTTCAGATTTCTCGACTTCAGACTCCAGTTCCTTTTGTCGCCCCTGCACAGAAATCAATGCTACTTCGGCGGCCCTCTCTTGCTGAGCAAGTTTTTGGTCCGCGATCTCAGCAAGATCACGGAACTGCTGAGCACGGTTGTTTGACTCTGCTTCCAGCCGCGTAAGTTCGGCAATTTCCTCATCCTTCTTCACAGAGCCCTCGTTTGTTGTACTTGCGATTGACTTAAGAGAAGCAATTTCTTCTTGCAAGGTCTTCCCATTCTCCTCAGCAATACCAAGCTGATTGTGTAAGCTGTGCAATTGCTCTTGAAGCTCTTTTTCGCGAGAAGTAGTCATTTTAATTTCCTTCCTCTTTTGCTCGAGCTCCTCCTTAGTTTCGTTGAGGACGCGGTCCAACTCCCTATAGTTATCTGACGAGACTTCGTTCAACTTTCTCTGGTGGTCAAGTTCTTTGGTAATGGTGGCCAATTCTGCTTCAAGATATCGCTCAGCCTGCAAGTGTTCCTCAAGCTCCACAATATGCGAGTTGATTTGAGACTGCAATTTGGTTGGTGAATGCGGCAGAGACTGCGGCATGACTTTCGTGAGACCGTTGTTAATGTTCAGGGTGAAAAGTCTCTCGACGAGAAGCTGAAAGACTGTTCTGGACTCCTCCTCCGACTTCTGGCTCTTTTTCAGTGCCTCAGAGGCGGATGCTAACGTTTCTGAGAATTCGCCTTGGGCTTGGGAAAATGCTCTAATGAACTTTTGGTTTTCATCTCCTGCACGTGACAGCAGCTTGTCAGATTGAACAAGATTTGCCCTAAGCTTGGAGTTCTCAGCTCCCAAGTCTTCCATCTGAGTGCGCATCTCCTTCAAATTGTTGTTTAACTGTTGTAGACGCGTATCCTTCGCCTTCATGTTTGAGTCCTTCAGCTCAATCTCTTGCTTCAAAGCGATTTGCTCACCCTCCCGTGCTTTCGACGAGAGTCCAACCTGCGCACGCATTTCTGCTAGCTTCAGCTCCGTATCACGAAGTTTTTGCTGCGTGTTCTCAAAATTATCCTTCATCTTCAAAATTTCGTTCAATCGATCCTGTGTCTCCCTCGACGCGAGTCTAGAATCGTCAAGTTCTTCTCGTGTGACTGCAATTAATTTCTCCTTGCTTTCACCTTCCGCTCTCAATTTGTCCAGTTCCTCGTTTAGAGCTTCATTGGAAGCATGCAAATCAGAAATGTGCTCGCTAGCATCATCCTGAGCGTTTTGAATGGAAGCGACGGCGTCAAGCTTCAATTCTTCAACACAGGCTGTAATGTCGTCCCTTTCTTTGTAAATAGAGCCGAGGCATTCGGCAACCTGCACTTTCTCTTGTTCCAATTTCGAGATTGTTTCGTGATAGACCAGGGACTTCTTCGTCCATGCAGCTTTTTCTTCGTCGAATTTCTCCAATTTGGCTTGGCATTCTGCTTCACGGGTTACATGATGCGCTATATCTGTTTGCAAACTTTCGAGCTGGCGGTGTTGCTCTTGGCACGTTTGTTCTATTGCTGATAGCCTGCTTCGATGTGCGACGCATTCTGACGTTGCTGCTTCTGATTGTTCTGATGCTTCGTCCATTTGCTTCCTCAGCTCCGATATCGTCCGAGCGGAGATGCTTTCCACTTCGTGGAGTTTGGCTTGGACGACTTTGTAGGACCCCTCAAGAGCAGTAAATTCTTTACGAGACTTGCTGATAGAGTTCCTGAGGAGCTCCAGCTCTGTTTCTTTTTCCTCCTGTAGATCTTGCAATTGCTGTTCTAGAGAGACGCGATGATTCGCGTGCTCCTTCAAATCCTTTTTCAGTATCTCCAAAGATTTTTGAGAGTGATCTAGGGCGCTTTGGAGCGAAGACATGGCAGCATCTTTCTCTTCCCCAACTTCAGACTCCTTTTGCTCCATCTGAACTCTGAGCAAATGTACTTGTTCATTCCAGGACGCTTCCGATTCTGAGAGTGATCTCTGGAGACCCTGAACTGCATTCTGAGAGGCTTCGAGCCTTGACAAGACTGCCGTTTTTTCCTCCTGTGCTCCGAGTAATTGCTGTTGAAGGCCTTCAGATTTGTGTGATAGCTCCTGTATTTGGTTCTGAAGTCTAGAGACCTCATCTGTATGGAGCTTCTCAATTTCTAAGACTTCCTCGCTCTTTGCAGTGAGAGCCGTTTTGAGACGTACTTGTTCACTGTCGCTAGTGGAATTGATGTTCTCCAACTCTGCATGGAGCTTTGCTAACGACGCCTGGGTGCTCTCCAACTTATTTTCGCTGTCGAGGAGCGTTTGCTTGGTATTTTCGAGAACAGCCTGCGTCTCTGCGGCGCCAGCTTTGAGAGAAGAGATTTGAATTGACTTTTCGTCAAGCGAGCTCTGCAATTGAGCTACCTCTGATTCCGTCGATTGCAAGTCATTCTCAAGATTACTACGTTCTAAATCGTTATCAAGTTGCACCTCTTTGAGACGAAGCTGTAAATTGTGAATAGAAATATTTGCGTCTTCAAGCTTTGTCCGTAGTATATTGCATTCTTCCGTAGTCCGAGACTGTAAGTGTTGGTCAAGTTTGTACTTTTCGGATACCTGCACAACCGCTGCTTCGTGGGCCAGATTGGTCTCTTCAAGTTTTGACTGGAGGCTTGATACGAGGTCCTCCTGGGAAGCAAGGTTTCGCAGAGCCTCTTTCTCGCGAACTCGATATTCCTCTTGAATACGGGCAAATTCCTGTTCCCGTTCCTCAACCTGCTTCTGGCCCTCGGCGACCTTGCTCTCCAGGCGGGCAATCAGGTCCAGCTTTTGCGCAAGAGCGTCTGCAAGTTGATCGCTTTTCGCAACAAGATGGCCTCGTTCGCCGTCAAAGCGAGCGGCAGTGGCTTCGAGCCTGGACACAAGGTCGGCTTCTGCTCGCTTGGCGTCGAGAACGGCTGTCTCCGTGTGGGCACATTTTGCTCGCAGCACCTCGGCCTCACTCTCCGTTTGCATGAGCAGGGTTTCGAGCTTTGCTGAATTGGATGTAGCCTTCGCCAGACGCTTCTCCTTACGTTTGATCTCCTTCTGGAAGATTGCAACTTGAGAGCGGAGCTCCGAGACCTGGCTCTTCGCGGAGTCCAGATGGCGAGAAATGTCTTGTTCGGACATGATGGGAGTGTGAGTGCGGGCCGGAGGCGGCTCTGTTCCGGCTTGGGATGGTAGACTCTATCTGTTTTCCGACAGAAGAGGGCACGTGATGCGGAAGCTTGCCGCTGGTTCAGCAACCCTTGCAACTCTCTATGCTGCGGAGAAGAAACACGGTTATGGGAGGGGGTGGTGGGAGGTGGAGAGGTGAGGAGGGGGAAGGGTGCGAAGGAATTGTGGGATGAGGAAACAGAAAGATGTGAGTCGAAGGTCGGAGGAGTGAAACGGGGGAAGTTTGAATTTTCAAACTTGAGCGAAGCGGCAAAAATTTCGAAATTAGTGGGACTGGTTGTAGATAGCCAATCGTAGCAGTGAATTCCGCATCTAATTCTTGGCTCTCTTGCGACATGTTGACACCACGTGTAATGTTGTGCAGGACGGAGTCCCAAGGGAAATCTGGTTTTGTTCATTTCGGGCACTGTTGACAGTGTTTGACATCAAACAACGCTTTCGAAAGGGCAGGGGGTGAGGTGCAAAGCAGGGTTTGAATCAGAAGCCCTTCTCTATCATCGGACGCACAAGATGAGCAGTTATTGTGTCTGTTTGTCGGGTCCCTCGCAGAACGCGGGTCCCTGGGAGACGGTAGAGAAGCGGTAAGCAAGCACGGATACGGTGACACAAAGTAGAGTGAGGATGTCGTAGCTAGTTTAGTGTTAGTGCAATCTATCCAACTACAAGGCACGCGGTCAAATACATAGGCGTCCAGCGGCAGCGAAACGGCGCTCACGCGAAACGGTGGATCACGAGCCCACGAGGTCGGCGTCCTCCTCTGGCACAAACGAGGGCGCATCTTCCAAACCTTCTGCCCAGGCCGCGGCGACGTCAGCCACCTGCGCGCACTTGGCCTCCTCCACGCTCTCCGCACACGTCAAGACATCTTCCGCGGCGGCCTCCAAGCCACACGCAAGGCCAGCGCCAACACGAGCCAGGGCGCCCAAGGCGTCGCTCTCGCGCACGGCGTCCTGCGGCACGGCGGCCACGAAGGCTTGTGCCGCCTCTCCAAAGCTGCGCAGCTCCTCGGCGAGCCCGGGGGCGACGCCTCCGTCGACGGCGACGACGCGGCGGTGGTCGCGCAGGGCGCGGGCGGCGGCGCCATACGCGTCCTCCGCGGCGGCGAGAGAGGCGCACAGGGCGGTGAGCGGCGGGCGCGCGGTGGCGTCGAAGCGGGCGTTCGCGCGGCGCTGGGCGCAGCGGGCCGCGACGACGCGCAGGCGGTGGGCCTCGTCGACCAGCGCGGCCAGACGCGCCGACAGCGCGTCCGCCTCCGCGCACGCCGCGGCCTCCTGGCGCGACAGCTCGACCAGCGCGAGGTGGTTGAGCAGACGC